ATGGATTTTAAAATGAAGGAATACTATATTCTGCTAGTTTTTTAGAACATACCATATATGAGTGTTCACATTATATTCTACACCTCCAATTTTTTTTTGAGTTTGCTTTTAGCACAAAAAGGTAATGAAGATCCAGTAAATTTCCCGTCAATCTCAAAGAAATTGATTAAAAAACGACAAATTGTTGCATTTTGGAGATTTAATCCAAACTTGTGTTTTTTAAATGGAGCACCCTTTATACGTGTCTTGACAACATGCACAATATTTTGTCTATGTACTGAGTCTATGTAATTGATGTTAAAATTGCATGCATTGAGGGTTGATTAACTTACAAAGAATATAATATCTTAATTATTCACTAGAAATGGTGGATGTAATCCTATGTTGGGCTAGCCTGTATTCCGTATAGCAAATTTTGTTGAAAATCCAGTATTAAAAATAATACTAAGTTACAAAACAATCTACAATTTTTTAATTAAAAAGAATATTATACCTACACCTACAGGTGTTTTATAATAATCTCATACTGTTCTAAACAAAGGGCATTCTTTTAAATAAGTTTTATAAGAAGAAAATTTTAGTTCCCGCAAGACCTGATTTGACCTCTATTAAGTTCATCCTAGGAGGAACTACAAGATATAAATTAAACAAAGAAGCCTGTAATAATTATTAACCTAACCTATGGGAAAAAATGTTGAAATAAGTTATACTATCACTATTAAAGAATACTTGAAATTATAACCTTTGCCTTGAACAGGATGAAGATATTATAAAACACGTTTTAAGATAAGTTAATTTACCTTAACACAGAATCTAAAGGTTTGTTTAGTAAAATTTATATACAGGGTGTCCCATAAGCACATGATCAAAAAGATACTGCGGCATTATTTGACTCAAAAGAAGACGATTGACCTAACTTCCATTAAGAAAAAATGCCTGGCTTCTCTGCTATTGACTGTCAAAGTTCTTGAAAAAAAAAAAATATGTTTTTTGTAATATCTGGATAATGTTACGGTGGATTTTAATGAGACTTGCTGTGGACTTGTTCCTAAGTAAATGTTTTGATGAAACAACCACGTCCATCTGCCTTGGGCTACTGGTAAATTCTTGAGTGTCTTGGTACAAGAATTACCGGAACTTTTTATTTGGACTCTTGAATTAATTCATTTTATTTTTAATGATGCATCAATCCTTTTTTGAGATTTTCGTGCTCTTGGTAAATTCTTGTAGCATTCATGATTTTTACGCAAAAATTTTTTTTCAATTTTAGACAATCATTATCACTACTAAAGTACAACAAATACTCACTACAATCATTATTATCGTAGTAAGTATCTTGGTAAAATCTTGTGGCATTCATAGCTTTTACGCAAAAAAATGTTTTCTGTTTCGTTGCGACTTAACAATTTTAAATTTACCCCAGTAAATCTGCCTTTTTACAACGAACAGCTTTCTCTAATAACAATTGCCAATTATTTTACCCAGGATATCAATATTGAAAGTAAAATGATCGCAATTTTACTTCATTAGATTTATTTTTTGTTAACACGCAAAAAATGTAAAGACGTACTTAGGAAAGACATAATTCTCTTTATTAAAACTGGATGATAGTTACATAGATACGATAGATGATGGTGGAATTACAAGACATGTTCGATATGCCCTCCATTTTTTTGGATGCATAGCTGGATCCTTCGACTGAAATTGAATTGAGCCCTTCTCATCATTTTTATGTCCGCCTCGTTTTGAATTCTACGCAATAATTCTTCCTGGGATTCCACAGGAGTAGCGTAAACTTTATTCTTCAGGGCTCCCTATAGAAAAAAATCTAACAGCGTCAAGTCGGTGGACCTGGGGGGCCATTCGACAGGAACATCTCTCCCTCTTCTTTCGATCCACTTGTGTGAAAAAGTATTATATAAATGTGCCGTAACATTTGCACTAAAGTGCGGAGGAGCACCATCGTGCTTAAACTACATCTGAGCACGAAGGTCGAGAGGGACATCTTCCATTAGAACCGGAAATAATTTTCGCTATTCAAGCTGCGCGGCTTGACATAAGGACCCAGAAGGATGTCACCGATGATCCCGGCCCAAACATTTACTAGAAATTCCACCTAAAAGTGGTTAATACGCCTCACATGAGGGATTTCTTCTGCGTAATGGTGAATAAAATTCGGCTGGTGAAATTTGGATCATGTGCCGCTTGGAGGAGCTGCTGTCTTATGATGCGATTAATTGTACTTTTTGATACGCCAAATTCCACTGGCAGATGGCGAGTACTGATATTTGGATTTTCAGCGACCCTGTTTAAAACGTCTCCCTCAATGGCTGCATTTCGTACTTGAGGACGACCCACACGGTCAACGGCTCGAACACCAAATTGACCAATTTCCCGCAAACTCTTTTCAATCCATGTAAATCGGTAATCTGGAACCTGTCGATTTGGGTATCGCGCCGCGTAGACGCGTACACTCCCACCCAAGTTGTCTTCGCTAAACCCTAAGACTTTGATCAGTCGGTCATCTCTCCATTAGAAAACGCCATTCGAAACAAATTGATTGACAATTCATTTATTACAAAATGACATCATCGCTTACTACGACAGTAGTAATTGTAGTGGGTAGTTGTTGTACTTGAGTAGTAGTGATAATGATTTTTTGCGTAAAAACTATTAATGCTACAAGATTTTACCAAGAGCACGAAAATCTCGAAAAAGGACTGATGCATCATTAAAAATAAAATGAATTAATTCCAGCGACCAAATAAAAAGTTCTGATAATATAATTGTTGTACCAAGACACTCAAGAATTTACCACTAGCCCAAGGCAGATGGACGCGGTTACTTCATCAAAACATGAGTTTTACTTAGGAACAAGTCGACAGCAAGTTTCATTAAAATCCATCGTAACATTCTCCAGATATTACAAAAAAACATATTTTTTTTTTCAAGAACTTTGACAGTCAATAGCAGAAGAGCCATGCATTTTTTCTTAATGGAAGTTAGGTCAAATCGTTTTCTTTTGAGCCAAAGAATGCCGCAGTACGTTTTTGATCATGTGCTTATGAGACACCCTGTCTAGCCGAATATTGCACACACTGGTTCCACAGTAATTTTGGCTATATTTCCTGTATATGTGATATGTATGTATTCAGAAAAATGAAAATCATTAAAAAAGAAAAAATATACGGGTCATAATTTTAAAGAAAAATAGTAAAAAATGAGGAGAATACGAATACGCGATTTAAAAAATTAAAATCATTATTTAAACCCTGTTCGGACTGCTGACCCACAAAGGTTTATCGAGAGTGAATCTACCGTAATATTCAGCCAATAACCTAGCTTTTAGTTTTAACGTTTTCACTATGTTTTGTAGTTGAAATCAGTTTGTAGTACGTATACCTAATTGTGTGACTTATTGCTTATCAAAGAGTAGTATGACACCTACATACACTACGCAACAAAATTTTTCAACGAAATATTTCCATTTTTCTAATGCGCATAACTCCGTCAATTTTCATCGGTCAAGATGATTTTTTTTTCAATTTGTGGGTAATTATCTGTATTTTAAGAAAAAATGCGAAATGGATGCGATTCGAGACCGCATCTCCATGTCCGCATAAAGCACAAGCATTTTTTTCTTAAAAAAATGTGATTGCCTGCTACGTAACTTGGCTTAGCTTCATGCTAACCTCTGAGGGTTTGGAATCAGAAAATATTGTGACAGTGAAGAGCCACGATGTCCCTAATTTGACACATAGTTTACATAATCAGCCGGTTTCAGGGACAAAATTATACGTAAAGTCCGATTAGCAACCTCCTCGCGGTACGTATCGAATAATGTTGATGCTGGCAGTATCCATTAAACACAAACGAATAACTTCAAAATGGCATAACTCGGTCAAATAAAATCGTAGAAACTTAATTTTTCAAATTGATAGATAGAAAATGCACTTTACAATGGTCTATGAGTTATTTTTGAAAAAAAATCGGGGCGACCCAGATAATGCGTCAAACAATGAAATTAAAAAAAAGATTAGGCATTATCAGGACATGAAGATGCGGCAGCGCCGCGCGTCCATTTCGCATATATTTTTCTTTAAAACACAGATATTTACCTAAAAAATGAAAAAAGAATCGTCTTGATACGATGAAAACTGACGGATCTATGAGTATTAGAAAATTTCAATTTTCAATTCAAAAAACACTTATCCGTCCATAGTACTTTTATTTTGAAATCAATTGCAAATCAGCTGTTTCGCTTCAATGTTCGAATGCTCTATAGTCCGCCGGCGCATTCCTTGTTGCAAGGGAGTTAAGGGGTAATTTACTTATTTTTTAAAAGGTCGACTAAAGTTTTTTTTTTCGATTTTCTGTCTGTATTAGGCCTTCGCAATACGTGGTTAAAATTATTATGACTGAATCATCAGTATATCAGTCCCTTACGAAATTCAATATCATAAAAGAAAATATAGTTGTATACTGCATTTTTCTTTTTTCCATACCGGGCAAGATGATATATATAACCAATAACCCGTTACATAGACTGTAAAATCATAATTATTTTAAGTCACAACTCTAGTGTTTATGTAATGTAATGTAAGAACATAAAAGTCTGGTGACTCGTCTCCTTTAACTTGAAACGATTTAAAACTGCGAATAACAAGTAGAAGTAGTATACCAAGTGTAATTCGATTCTCGTACACCCCGATACGGATCAAGTACATACTTGACAACTTCCGCGTAGTATATAAAAGCCGGTTTATCAAAATTCTATATTCCCATGACAGATAATAAATGTCCCATAAGACTAAGAACTGGATGCCTTAGAAAACATTAAGTGTAATACTTAAATACATAAATGTGAGTAATACTTGGATATTAAAATTTGTTTAAAATTAATTCGTCTACGTATCGGGCGCGAAAACAAGCTACAAGGTCGACAAGTTGATCTCTGATTCTTTGTATTTGTTGGTAATGATAACGCAGTAAAGCAAAGACGAGCCAGCACGATGGTTGCAGCGGTGCAATTATTGGTGTCCCTTAGTACTCTTACTATTATAGTGAACTCGAGCGGGCCCGAGTGTGGCGCTCGAAATCAATTTCGTGAATATTGTTTCTCATTTGAATACTGCACTAACTTCACGTGCCAAAGTGAAAAGTGCGGGCGTTTTCCACGTAACAGTGTATCGCTGAATATACAACAAACGAAAATTATACCCCAGTGTGCTATTATGCACTCAACTACCTTGAAACGTATAAGTGGCATCGGCAGTAACATACAGGTTTTGACTTCTGGTTCATTCGCATATTTACCCAATTTAGAAAGTATTATTTTGCCGTTTAATCAAATATGCGAGCTGCATCATGGAATTTTTTATAATGTTAACGCATCTTTGCTGGATCTGAGCTGGAACAAAATTATTTACATTCCGGAAGGGGCTTTTAATGGAATAAATGGACTGACACATTTAAATTTGAGCAGAAACGAACTGACGACTATACCATCGGAATATTTACCTAGAAGCTTAGTAAAATTAAATTTGTCGTACAACTTCCTAGAATGGATAGCTTTGAATGGCGCTAAACAACCTGACTTAACATCCGTGGATCTCAGCTACAATAATTTAGAGAATGTTGCTCTGTCTTTTGATAATACCCTCGAAGAATTAGATCTAACACGTAATAATTTGAAGGACATTGATTTCTATGACATAAACAATTGTGAAAATTTAAGAATACCGTCCAATTCGTTTTCAGTCATTCCACGATTCTTGAAATATTCGAGAATCCGACGTGTAGCTATACATCCCAATCCATGGAAATGTGATGAGCTCAAACGACTATGGGAACATTTACAGAACAACAATATCGAGGAAGAACAATTCACTGACGATTCTCAGCCTCTGTGTTCCATTAATTCATTAACATTTTTAATCCTATCCAAACGCATCGACTTAGAGTGTGAAAATGATAACCACTGTGCCAAAAACCTGTTGTGCAGGGCCCATAAATGTTGGGATCCTTGTAACAGCGCATGTGACAGCACAAATGTTTGCAGCGTTGAAAATCATAGAATTGCCTGTCTGTGTCCGGAAACGAAAAAGAAAAATCCATATAAACTTTTCTCGCCATGTTACGACGTTGAATGCTTTACAGATAGCCACTGCTCCATTGGAAAAATCTGCAGTTTTAATAAAACTTGTCTGCCAATAATGCATATTTTAAATCAAGTACCATCTGTTATATATCATGCAATTGGTGATCCTGCTATATATCAAGAAAATGCTGTTCCTACTACTACTACTCCTACTACTACTACTTTTTCTTATGGTATACCTTCTTATTTTTAACTTAATTTACAACTTCTAAAATATTTCAATTTTTAGATAATACAAAACCTGTTGTTAGCAATGTGCCTTGGTGGTTTGAAGTTATACCAAAGCTGACACCTTCCCACAAGATTTCTCAGACTTAAAGGGCTTTTTAATTTAGCATTAATATTATAATTGACTTATGCGAGCTTTCATCTTAAGTTATACATGCATGAAAAGATGTAACTTTTTCTGATTTACGTGTATCACTTCGTACCATTTAAAATGTATGAAATACTATTGATAGCAAATAAATACTTCATCTAAGGGAAAATACATAAAAATGTTAAATTGTTTAGCAGAAATTTACTAGAATTGTAGTCAGTGTTGTGCTAACTGAATGTATTTATTTCGAAGATGTGTAACTGAGAAATAAAATTAAATGCAACAGATAAGTAGTAATTAAAATTATTGATCTTTATACATTCAGTAATAATCATTAAGATCATATTGCAAAGTGAGTAATTGGATGTATTTATGTATTTTATTTTATTTAGTAAATGAGATACGAGTCATTTACTACAGACCAACTCATTTTTTGACAAGATCTTTCAAGTACTTTAATAAGAGCAATTGTCTAAGAAATAGCTTAACATAAATCATTCGTTACAAAAACCGCTCCATCAAATTTTGTAATGTTACTTTACATATTCTGTTACCTATTAATATAACTTTTATTTACGGTCGCTTTGACACGCTCCCAGGCACCAATATTCTCAATATGACTACTGAAAGTGAATTTCGAGTCAAACTTCACACCCAAATCAACAATATTATTGACTCTACGCAAGGGGTCTCTGTTCAAATTATAATTAAAAATTGTGACATTTTTCCTTGTAAAAGACATAAGAATATTACATTTACAGATGACACCAGGTATTGACAGCATCTGCACATTGTAACATTACACATTGATTTATCATCATCCGAAACAGAAAACAATTTCATGTCGACATAACGTAGACAGTTCACATTAATATTAGCAATAAATTAATAAATAAATTAAAGAGCAAGGGGTCCAAGACGGAACCTTGCGGAACACTAGATGTTGTATAAAATTTAACATACTTGAAACCATGGTATCGTTAATATCTGGAGTTAACATATTAATTATACAGGGTGTCCGGAAATTCATGCTACAAAATTTCGTCATAGGTTCTTAAGACAAATTCAGGGGACCCGTATTTTTTCTTTTTGCCAACTGGCCCCCTTTTTCGGAGTTACAGCCCCCTGAAATCTGCCCCTAAGAAGTCTTTTTTATATCTCAAAACCATATTGTACGAGAATCAATAAATTTGGTACACAGGGGTTTTATGACATGTGGAATCTCACAGTGCTACGCTTTTTGGCGAGAAACCCCCTTAAGACACTTTTTCGTGGACCCCCTTGTCTTTGGAACCAGAAAAATTTGGTCGCAAATTTGATTTTTATTTAATTATTAGTTAGCTAGAAAGCCGTTGAATTTAGAAACTTTTTTTTCTCTTGATATTTGTTTCGAAAAACGCAATGTTTTTGAGGAAAATGGCGAATTACGATATGCATTCGATCACATTTTGACATTTTTCTCGAAAACATTGCGTTTTACGAAAAAAAGTATAAAGAGACAAAAGGTTTCTAAATTTAATGACTAGTGGATTGACAATTTTTAAGAAATTTAAATATGCAACCAAATTTTTTTGGCTCCAAAAACGAAAAATTGTCTTAAAGGGGTTCCCCGCCAAAAAACGTAGCACCATCAGATTCCACATGTCATAAAACCCCTGTGTAGCAAATTTAGTGATTCTCGTACAACAGGGTTCTGAGATATAAAAAAAAGATTATTCTTAGGGGCGGATTCCAGGGGGCTGTAACTCCAAAAGAGGGGACCACTTGGCAAAAATAAAAAATAAAGTTCCCCTTTTGTCTTAAGAATCTGTGACTAAATTTTGTTGCATGAATTTCGGGACACCCTGTAGTGCGAGAAAAACTATATGAATTAAGTTTACTTAGCAGAATACGGTGGTCATGCCTGTCAAAGGAAAAATTGGCATAAATTACGTCAACTTGTCTGACCGCATCTATATAGCCTCTGAAATAAACTTTGTAAAAATGAACAAATTTGTAACTGTCGACTTTATCATAAATTAAATTATATAGATATTTTCAAAAACTTTTGCAAAGTTGGAAATTTACTTATCGGACGATAGTTGTCAATGTCATGCATTTTTAAAAATTGGAGACATGGGATACTTTCCGAATTGCTTCTTGTTGATCTTACAAGAAATAAAAAATAACTGAAAAGATTTAAGAAATTTGATGTACAGTAAGCAAAATGAAATTTAGAATAGTTACAGGAAAGTAAGACGTAAGAGGTAAGTAAAAATAAACTCAAAGACTTTTAAGAAACTAGGGAGAAAATGTACACAATTGTTTGCAAAAGTTGGTAAAGTTGGAGGTATTTCTCTACCATCCTCATCCTCATTAAGCCGCCAATCTTTCATGGTAGAAAACACCACAACAAATAATGGGTCCGAGGAAAAAAGCACATCGTTAATAGTAAACCTACGATGTAATTCTGTGCAGTCTTTAAGTAAAGATAATAAAATGGCGCATATGATGACCTATTTTATTTATAATATTATACAGGGTGATATGTATATTTTTTGCTAACAATGATCGATGACACCCACACCTCCGCCACTGGTAAGTTTCTAAAGCAGGTATTTTTTGTTTCATACCTACTGTCATACTAAATATGCACACCGAATTTGGTTAAATTATCTCAAGTTGTTTAGAAATTAAAAACTAAAAACTTTTTTTATTTTTGACACGCTATAGCTGGACAATGGTCCTAAGTCCCCACATTTATATAACAAAAAAACCCTTAATTTTTGCCACAGAATACGCCCCCCGATTTTTGACTTCTACTTAAGAAACACTCTGTACATTTCCATGTAGATTAAGTAGATTTGTTTTCAAATTTTGTTGATACATTATACCAATTAGCATTAAAAAATGTTGATGTATTGCAAATTTATTCTAAAACTTTGCAGATCATCATTTTTTTAAATCTGCTCTCAGAGATGTAAGTAGTGTGATGTTCAATGAAAAGTAGATGTTGTATTTCAACTGTACATGGATTTTCATACACACTACTCACTATTACTTTAAAAATTAAGTTCATAACAATGAGGAAAACTATCCATATAATATGAATATCAGGTGAATCGAATACGCCAACTCAATTAACAATTAAATCTTAAAATTTGTTTAAAATCAATATTTCAAAGTATCGTAAGTTAAGTCAGTTCGCAAGGTCGACAAGTTAAGCTCATATTTCTCATATTTGTCAGTATTGATAAAGCAGTGAAGCGAAAACAAGCTAAAGATGGCAGTACTATTATTGGTATCTCTCAGTGCTCTTACTATTATAGTGAACTCGGGCGCGCCTGACTGTGGAACACGAAACCAATTTCGACAGTACTGTTTTTCATTCGAATATTGCACTAACTTCACGTGCCAAAGTGAAAATTGCGGGCGTTTTCCACGTAACAGTGTGTTGTTAAGGATACAGCAAATGAGAATTATACCTCAGTGTGCTGTTACGCACTCAACGACCTTGAAACGTATAAGTGGCATCAGCAGTGGTATACAAGTTTTGACCTCCGGTTCATTCGCATATTTGCCCAATTTAGAAAGTATCATTTTGTCTTTTAATCAAATACGCGAGTTACACCATGGAATTTTTTATAATATTAGTGTATCTTTACTGGATCTGAGTTGGAACAAAATTACTTATATTTCGGAAGGAGCTTTTAATGGAATAACTGGATTGACACATTTAAATTTGAGCAGAAACGAACTGACGACTATACCAGTGGAATATTTACCTAGAACCGTAGTAAAATTAAATTTGTCATATAACTTTCTAGAGTGGATAGCTCTGAACGGGGCTAAACGACCTGACTTAACATCCGTGGATCTCAGCTACAACAATTTAGAAAATGTTGCCCTGTCTTTTGATAATACCCTCGAAGAGATAGATCTAACTCATAATAACTTGAAGGATATAGATTTCTATGACGTAAACGATTGTGAAAATTTAAGAATACCGTCCAATTCGTTTTCAGATATTCCACGATTCTTGAAATATTCAAAAATCCGGCGTGTAGCTATACATCCCAATCCATGGAAATGTGATGAGCTCAAGCAACTATGGGAACATTTACAAAACAACAATATCGAGGAAGAACAGTTCATTGACGATTCTCAGCCTGTGTGTTCCATTAATTCAACCACAATTTCATCCTTATCCCGAAGCGTCGACTTAGAGTGTGAAAATGATAACCACTGTGCCAAAAATCAGTTGTGCAGAGCTCATAAGTGTTGGGATCCTTGTAACAGCGCGTGTGATAGCACAAACATTTGCAACGTTGAAAATCATGGAATTGTTTGTCTATGTACAGGATTGAAAAGGAAAAATCCACATGAAGTATTCTCGCCATGTTACGACGTTGAATGTTTCACAGACAATGATTGTGTTTCTGGAAATACTTGCAGTTTTAATAAGACCTGCGTACCATTTCATATTAGTGGTGTGGAACCAATTGGCGTAATTTCTTCTTTTGGTATTTACTGAGGTTTACTAATTGCCAACTTATAATATATTTTGATTTTTAGGAAGCAATATCAACCGCCTTGACAATGTGCCATGGTGGTATGAAGATATACCAAAGCTAGCTCCCTCCCACAGAATTTCTCAAAATTGAAGGACTTTTCAATCGTTTTTAATTTGATTTATGTAAGAACCAATTATATTTAATGATATTTGTTGCATAAACATGAAATAACACAACTTTTAGTTTTCTCATTTAAGTGTTACTTTATACCATTTAAGATTTATGAAATGCTATTGATGAAAAGTTACATAGAAATTAAAATAGATACAAAAAGAGCATACTTATGAAATGGAGTTAGGTACCTTATCCAAATATGAACACTCTTCTCAAATATAATCATATTTTTGTACATTTTGCGACATAATCTCAAGAATATTGAAAGGAGAACAAAAACGAATAAGTTTTGGGAAAACCGCTACAGCGAGTCGAGTTTTTCCTTTATTATTATTATTTTTTTGAAAATTTTGATTAACCCTATACATTTATACGTTTTTTATTTATAAATTACGAAGACATGACCTTTTTTCAAATAGCAATCCCAATTTTTTTTATCAGAATCGGAGAAAGCTTGGTTTTCTAAGTAAGTCATACCATAAATGGGATCTATTACCTATGGCTCAGAACTCTTGATAATTTCCTTTATAATTTGTTTTTAAAAGCGACGTGTGGCTCTTAGTTTCACAAAAACTATCCTTTTATTTGATGATAACGTTATTTAGAAATATAATATACAGGGTGTTTATTAAGTACTTGTATAAACTTTAAAGGGTGAATAAAAAGTTCATATGAACAATGATTATAAATGTTATTAAGTTATTTATAGAAATAGTCGAGTCTTATATAGGATAGGCCCCATACACGATCAAACAACAGATGGCGTTGTGCAAACATTTTGATCATGTATGTCTTGATTAAATGATTGGAGCTGTTTCGCAACAGTTTGAGTAAATTCGAGCTTGTTTGAAATTATTTGTGCAACGCGTGACTTACTCAAACAGGTTTAAACGTGTATGTGGATGTTTGAAGGTGTTGTACAACGTAACAAACGAATAGTGTCATACAACTAGAGTTTGACTATGGAAAGTTAAAAGTGAACTTTATAAAAATCTAAATTTAAGAAGTGCAGGTTTCTGTAGAACAACATTAATTTAAGAACAAAATTAACGATACCAGTCAAGCGCGAACAAACTGATTAAAAATATAAAAAATTGCCTATTTTAAAAAAAAAATTATCTTTAACATGACTGACAAATCGTAAAAATGGGACTTTTAGGGGTCTTCTAGAAAATCACGTGTCACATTGAGAATATTGGGAAAATGACTAATGTTAAGTATGCCTTTTACAGGTCATTGTACCCCTAAAAGCCCTACAGAGTTTCAATTCGATCCATCAAGCCGTTTTTTTGTCTCATTCGATTGAATTTTTAAAAAATTAAAGGATTTTTTGCCTTTAAATGCTCATAATCTGTAAAAAAATGAAAAAAACAGTTTTTTCCTGATTTATTTTACATTCTTATTGCAGAAAGCGTTTGAAATCACGAAAAAAAAAATTGCGCGATACGTGTTACTTGAAAAATTTTTTTTTGCAAGATCCGAAAATTAGAAACTTCAAGCTTCAAATTGCTTTTTTTTACTCCAATACGACCATTTTTATCAAAGATACAGCCATTTGAAGAATCGCCGAAAATTTAGATTTTTTTTGATACCTTAATTTTTTCCACTAGTTTATATAATAATATAAAATAATTCCTACAATTTTTTGAATAATAAGTTAATGTTAATAATCTAAGTCTAAAATGTCTCACATTTAAAAAATGGTAAATGGGACAAGTGGGTCCTATCTATGTAGATTTGAATGTTTCTTATGGAACATTTAAAAAAATACCCTTATATACTTGTTACGTTATTTTAAGAACACAATAACTAAAAATGTGCCGTAGAAAAAACCCTGCTTCAATTAGCTGCGGCGTAAGGAACGCAGCGTTAAACAACTAAAATATTGAAATGATGTTAAGATGCTTTCTCTTAAAATAAGATCTGAAATCACTGCGAGCGAAGGCATTCATTCATATTATCTACAATTTCTAGATCGTGTGTGCTGACGCCCACGTCCGTCAAAATTCGCAATTTATCCTAGCCGATTACTAACCTTGTTAAGGATTGAAATTCTCACGAGTGTACTCGCCTTGAACTTGTGAGTAATTTCTGAAAAGGACAACGCTGCTATTAAAACTGGATATTATTATTTATTTGAATATTCTTCATCTAGACAACACTTAATGTTATGAGAGGTTACTAAAAATGTAGTTTTCCTTGGTGTTCTGTATACAGTATGAAAAAATATGTAGATGAACTACCTCAAATAATACATAAGATAAATAACTCTGCATAAATTTTTATGTGTCTCATGGGTTTATTAAATTTAAACGAATTCCTTTTTATTTTATATATTTTAAAGTATCAAGCCAAGTTGAATGGTTTAAAAGCAAATAAAGTCTGAACTTTTCCATGAAATTAGCCGTATTGGGAACCTCATTATCTGAAAAGACCCCCAGTTATTTATACTATGAATCAAATAGAATTAGTTATCTGTAAATTTATAGGAGTTAAATATAAATTGCAATTGACAGTCGAAAAACTCAAATCTGTATCCAATGTCAAAGTGATACTCACTGTTTTTTTCGACTTTAATAGAATTGCCCATTTTGAATTATTGTCTCCAGGTGAAACAGTGAACCGTGTATCAAGACGTATTACAACGGTTATGTGGAAAAATCCGCAAAAAGACGCCCGAGTTGTGGCGAGACAACTCATGGTACTATGACAATACGCCCGCCCATTCAGCGTAAAGCTGTTTTACATTGACAATTTATTGATCAATTAATTGATAGAAATTGGACAAATGTAATGCACCAAATCTGCTGTCAAATAACTTCGTGAATTTATTCATCAAGTTCTTGACGAATTAGAGCATGTTCTAGTTTTCGTCAATTTCTTCGTGAAGTTCGGAAGTACCAACCCAACAGATTTCCATCCTCAGATCAGTAATGAGGTTATGTTATTGGAATATGTAAATAATTGTATGGCGTCGTACTAGTTTTGCATTGTTTTTACTGATTTATTACTTACAAACACTAATATTTATATAATATGTGTCAGAACAGTACCACTGTTGTATCACTACAATTATGAGCGGAAAGGTGACATTTTTGAAATTTATTTGCTTCTTTGATTCATTGGTAGAACTGATTCATACGTCAAAAAACTTGACAGTCTGTAGCAGTGTAAAACCAGACTGTTTACCAATAAATTCGTCAATTTATTCATCAATAAATTGTCAATGTAAAACAGCTATTAGTCAATTCGACAGCTTTGTGCTAAAAATCATATCACTCCCTTACCCTCCTTACTCGTCCGAAATTAAAATTAGTGCTGAAAGACGCCGTTTTCAGACTATTGATGACATCAAAGCAAATTCATCACAGACTTTAAAAGCCATCTCAAATGAAGCTATTCAGGACTGCTTCGCTAAATGGAAACACCTCTGGGAAAAGTGTGTCAATTGGGGAGGGGAGTACTTTGAAGATAACAAGGACCAATAATGTATAAAATAAAGTTTTAAAAGATAAAGTTCTGTTATTTTCTGAACAGATCTCGTATATATTTTTAACGAATAGTTTTGGAAATTTCTTCGATTTATGTCGATAGCTTATTTTAAATTATAAAAAATAATTATTCAGAAATAGCACGTTTTTCGAATAAAATGGAAGAAATATTTTTTCTTGGAAATTCCTTTTTTCAATTTCAAAAATATGCAGTGATGTCGTAATGTTGAATTCCTTAATGACGGTATCTCCCAAATTTTTCTATGTCAAATATTTTAAGAGATATACATCTATTTTAATTCAACACTCTCTTTCCCGAAAATGCACCATGAAAACAGTAAAATAAACGTATTACAAAGGACAATTCTTCAATACTGTCTTTTTTTAACTTTCTCATTGAGATGTTAATCCGATGTTTCGGATTCGATTTAGTATAATCAGCTTCACTGTTTAAAATACAGTCCTTCTAATGAAATACATATATTTACTTCCACATACATTGTTGCATCATGAATGATGTTATTACGTTTTGAATGCATTTTAGACATCATCGGAAGCTTTTTAGCGCATTTTTAAGTACTTTAAAGTAATAAAAAGATTAGCGAAATAAAGTAATAGTAAACGCACAAGAAAAAGTAGGAATAAACCACAATCAGTGTACATTTTGATGGCTAGTCGACTACTCGCTTTAGGCAGTCCAATAGACTACATGTAGCAAAAGTATATCTGGACTTCATACTGCTGTCAGTTTCTTGCCATGGCTACCAGAATTCAGACCTCCTATTGAGCACGTGACGGGTGTATCAATAAGATACTTACGCTCCCACAGAATATTGACGTTCTCAATACAAGAATGAATGCGTACTACAATGCCATGACCAGAATAATCTCAAATCACTCCCAATTGAGCACGTCTTGGATATATGTACAGGAGTCTTATGTTCCAACAAGACATCGATGATCTTTTTACAAACATGTCTAGACACATTCTGGTTTTACAACACGCACATAGTTTTCTATGCATTTACCTGTACAAACTGGTTTGTATTGGGTAGAATCGACATGTTTACAACAAAACTGTAGCTCACACAAATCAAAAGGGGTGGTTTGATTAAAATCTGTCCTGCCAAAGATTATGTAAATGTAAATTCAGTTTATGCAGTAACAGAAGAGGTTATACATGAATACAATTCGTGTTCTTAATCACCACTCGTTCTCTTCAAGATTGTTAACAATGGAAGCAGGAAGGTAATATTCCCCCCGAGGATCTTTAGTATGCTGTACTGATCTCAAGGGTGGGAGATGAACATTCAGGAGCAGAAATATACCTGGAAGGCAGTGGTACCAAGGAAAGTTTTTCAATGGTTGTCTCTACTACAGTTTTTTAGGCAGAGGTTTACGCTATTTTGATGGTGGTTAGTAAGGAAGAGGTAAGGAACCCTGTAGAGGAGAGGATTTTTATTTGCTTATTAGTCAGGCCGCGCTCAAATCGGTTAGCTCCCCAAGGATAAGGTCCGTTCTTGTTCAGGAGTGCGGAGATGCCCTCGAGTT